CGAAGCGTGTAGAATTATGTGTGTAATGTTTCTTTTTCGATGAATTATTCCTCCCTCTTCCTTCCCCCTCCCTCGCTGACCGCGATTGTATGCCGTCGGTTGTTCTTGGGTTCTGCCGAAACCAGAAACGACCTGTCGGAAACAGTCAACAACGCGTCGGCGCGAGGCGCCGCGGTCCTGGCTCGCGCGAGTGCCCCATCAGACGCGCGCGAGGTGTATTCCGTGAGCGACCAGTCGAACGAGCGAGGGTGCGGAGGAGGTAGATAGCTGGAGGAGGGAGGGTGGAGATGACGACGAGAAGAGGAGCAATGCACGAGGAGGGGCGGACAGGGATATATATATATATATAGAGAGAGAGAGAGGAGAGGAAGGAACGGGAGGAGAGATCGGAGAGTAGAGAGGGAGGAGGGACAGGAGGGAAAGAGCATGACAGAGGGGGGGGCGGCACGGAGGACGGGGCGGGGCGGGAGAGGAGAGGACGAGGGAGGAACGAGGATGAAGACAAAGTAGGATTAGGTCGGGCAACATAATCAAACAACATATCGGCCCAGTGTTGTTTTATCGCTATGTTCGAAGAGTCCTCCTGTAGAGGGACACGCCCGACTTGAAACTAGGTGCGCCCACGCCATATCTGACATCCTACCCCTCCCACTCGTCACTTCCCATTGCGCTGGCTTGTTCTGTTTCTGCGGACGCGTGTCACTGCGGACCTGGAGTTCCCGGGCAGACCCCACGATGCCATGCGCAATCGGAAAAAAAGGGAGCTGCGTATGGGGGGAAGGAGGTGCCAGTGGCGGATGAGGAGGAGGCGGAGGAGGAGGAGGAGGAGGAGGAGGAGGAGGAGGAGAGAAGAGGAGGAGGACGAACAGCAACAGCGGGAATTGGAGCGGACGTAGCGGGAGGAGCAGGAGTACCAGGGGAAGGTGGAGGAGAGGAAAGGAGGGGGCGACAACACTGAGGAAGGACTCGGATCCAGAAAAGTGGCCCGCGTTGTGGCGAGAACGCCATTCTGAACTACGGGAACAAAGCTGCAGCGGCAACGCCATTTCGCGACACCTAAAACGTTCCGGTGGACAAGAAGCTATAGGAACGATCAAATCATCACAGTCGGTGTGATTTAAAATACGCGATAAGGGGGAGGGGGAGGAGGGACCAGAAAGGAGGAGGAACAGACGGATGAGGAAGATGAGGAGGAGGTGGAGGAGGAGGAAGAGGAGAAGGGCGAGCAGAAAGGCCAGAGGCCTTTTGGATGCCTCCCGGAGCGTCTTCGGATTTATCTCGAGAGCTTCTTTGAGTCCTCTTGGGGCGTCTTGGGGGTCTCTTAGCATTCCAGAGGGGGCCCTTAGGGCGTCTTGGGTGCCTCTGGGGGGCCTCTTGGAGCCTCTCGGGGGTCTCTTGGAAGCCTCTTGGGGGCATCGCGGAGGCCTCTTGGGGCCTCCTGGGTACCTCTCGGAGTCCTCTTGGGGCACCCTTGGGAGCCTCGGAGGTCATCTTGGGGCCGTTTTGGAGGAGATCGATCACAGGAGGGGCACTCCTCGATTATCTATTAGGGCCCCTCCCCCTCCACACGGTCAACATGTGGCCAACAACTTCAGTAACATCAGTGATGTTGGCCTTTTCGCCGGTCCCAGGTGTTTTGGGGAGGCCGCTTGGGGGTCTCTTGGGAGCCTCTTAGGGGCGGCATCTCTGGGGCCTCTTTGGGGCATCTTGGGACCTCCGGGACACATCCTGGGGCCCTCTTGGGGCACCCTTGGGAGCCTCGTGGGCCATCTTGGGACCACCTGTCAGGAGATCCATCAAAAGACGGGGGCTTCTTAATCAGCCCCCCCCCCCCAGGAGGCCACAATGTGGCCAAAACCTTGGTTGGTACAATCTATGTGTTTGGCCTTCTCGCCGAGGCCTCTCGGGGCGTCTTTGGTGCTTCTGAGGAGCCTCGTGCGGGGCTTCTTGAGGATCGCTTGGGGTCCCTCTTGGGGCATTTCGGGCACCTCTTGAGGCCCTCTTTGGGCACCCCTGGTAGCCTCGGGGGCCATCTTAGGGCACTGTTGTAGGAGATCGATCAAAGGAAGGGCGCTCCTCAATTAGGGCCCCCTTTCAGGAGGCCAAGATGTGGCCAGCACCTTAGTATGTTGATGGCCTTCTCGCGGAGGTCATCTTGGACGCTCCAACGTCGCGGGGACTCCCCCGTCCAGGGGGCCCCCTGGGGGCGCCTCCAGCGTCACCCCTGGCATGCTCCGCGCACTAGGATCTGGGGGGTCCAGCGCCGAAGTAAGAAACCCGCGCGGATCTCAGAAAGTTTATGATTATGCCGTTTCTGTTGCGGGGACGTGTTTAACACGCGGTTTGCGCGCGCGCAAGAGAGAGAGAGAGAGAGAGAGAGAGAAAAAAAAGAGAGAGAGAGAGAGGTTGTTGCCGAGTCAGCAGGCACGCATTACGGAATGATAATATGTATGGATTGCCGCGCGCGCGACGGGTCCTGGTTTCCCTACTCTCCGGCAATGTGTTTGGATCCTTTTTTGTTGTTGCATTTTGTTATCTCCAGGGGGAGGGGCACGAGAGGAAGGGACGGGGGAGAGCGAGCGGACGCACGACGTCGTCGTGCCGTCCTGGTTCGACGCGGGCGCGGGCGCTCCAGGGCAGCAGAAGGCCCTGGCGGCATGCAATCACCGGCCTCAAACACATCCCCACCGCAATGACTGGCATAGCCCTGTCTCGACGAAGATCCTAGCCGATCTTACGGATTCCCTTTGGTTCTGAGGGCTCGTCCCCGAGATTGGATTGTTGCCGCCTCTGGGCTTGTCAACCCCTGAGGGATGGGGACAAGCGCGAGGCTGGTTGCGTTCGGGACCCCGGGATAGGGAGTGTCGGTCGAGGTCGAGCGGCTCGCGCGGCGATTGAGACCGGACCCCGCGCCGCGACGGCAGGATACTTGCCGTACCCTCCTGCAGCCAAGACGTTGAGATAAGGACCGCGTGAGGCTCAGGACGGGCCTGGGCTGGGAAGCCTATCCGTAGCTGAGGTTCGCCTCGGCCAGAAGATCCCCCGTCCGTCTCTTGACCCAACGACCCGTACGACAGCACGATTCCTATTCGACGATCGTTCTTCGACGATGATAACTCCTTCAATCTAGGCCTCCCAGATGGGGTCGGAGTAGATGGGGTCGGAGGATCGCGCAGCATCGCCGATGCATCGCCGATGCGGCTCGATGTGGAGCCCAATTTGCTTCACGTCGACGTCGCCGATGCATCGCCCACGTCGACGATGCATCGCCAGTGCATCGCCGATGCATCGCCGATATATCGGCGATGCGGCGCAATCCTCCGACCCCATCTACGCCGACCCCGAGGCCTCTTTTCAACGATCATCCTTATTCAGCGCTCCTCGTTCAACTACGATAGTTCCTTACTTTTTCCACTCGGGGCTGGACCCAATCGCTGTTTGCTGGACTTCGGCAGTGTTAGTTTTTTTCGTTTTGGCAGGGAGATAAAGGAAAACAGGTAGAGCAACACGAAAAACAAAACGACGATTATCCCAGAGCGACCCTACCTAGGAGTTGGAGCCCCGAGGAGAGCAACATTAGTAGTAACGGTAAACGCCGTCCTCCTCCTTCTCTTCATCGTCGCAGTTGTAGCAGTAGCAGTAGCGGTAGTAGTAGTAGTAGTAGTAGTAGTAGTAGTAGTAGTAGTAGTAGTAGTAGTAGTAGTAGTAGTCGTAGTCGTAGTCGTAGTCGTAGTCGTAGTAATAGTAGTAGTAGTAGTAGTAGTAGTAGTAGTAGTAGCAGTAGTAGTAGTAGTAGTAGTAGTAGTAGTAGTCGTAGTCGTAGTAGTCGTAGTAGTCGTAGTAGTTGTAGTTGTAGTCGTAGTAGTAGTCGTAGTAGTAGTAGTCGTCGTAGTAGTAGTAGTAGTAGTAGTAGTAGTAGTAGTAGTAGTCGTAGTAGTAGTAGTAGTAGTAGTAGTAGTAGTAGTAGTAGTAGTAGTAGTAGTAGTAGTAGTAGTAGTAGTAGTAGTCGTAGTCGTAGTAGTAGTCGTAGTAGTAGTAGTAGTAGTAGTAGTAGTCGTAGTAGTAGTAGTAGTAATAATACGGCTTAATACCTACATCTACAGTTAGACCTACATCCACATCTACACCTACAGCTAACTCTACATGTACACATACATCTATATCTACAGATACAACTACACTCACATTTACACCTACATCTACACCGACATGTACATGTACATGTACATCTACGTCTACACCTACATCCACATCTATACCTACATCTACATCTACATCTACATCTACATCTACATCTACATCTACACATTCGCATTGGTTTTGCTTTTGCTTTGCCTTTCTTTGTTAGTGCTATGCTATGCTTCGCTATGCTATGCTAGGCTATGCTATGACATGCTATGCTGCGCTATGATATGCCATGCGATGCTATGTTATGCTATTGCTATGCTGCGCTATGATATGCTATGCTATGATATGATATGCTGCGCTATGCTATGTTATGCTGCGCTATGTTATGCTATGCTGTGCTATGCTGCGCTGTGCTATGTTAAGCTGCGCTATGATGTGCGATGCTATGCTAGGCTGTGCTGTGCTATGCTATGCTATGCTATGCTATGCTATGCTGCGCTATGCTATGCTGCGCTATGTTATGCTGTTCTATGCTAAGCTGAGCTAAGCTACGCTAAAGCTAAGCTAAGTTAAGCTAAGTTTAGCTAGGCTAAGCTAAGATGAGATAAGCAACGCTAATCTAAGGGGACGTAGCTGGGGGAACCGCGGGGCGGATACCGGGGGAACCGCCCGGGCCGGTTCCCACTGCCCGGCCCTTTAAGCCAAGAGAGTAAGAACCCTTCTAGGCAGAGCCTAGGTAGGGAACAAAACGACAGTAAACGTTTAGGTCCAGCCGTGTTCTCACTCGACGATCTTTATTCGACGCAGTCCGTTCGACGCTATACCTCCTCGGGCAGCGCGGCCGCCCCCCCACCCCCTCGGCGGGCGCGCAGGCGGAGCCATCTTCAGGACCACGGCGAACACGCTGCGGAAGGCCCCCTCGTGCTCCGCCAGTGCGCGTGGTTCTAAGTCGGGCATGTCCCTCTACAGGAGGAACATTCAGAAATAATCCAAAAGTAGCCTGGGGACTTTTTGTTTACATATATGTATGCGTACATATATATATATATATATATATATATGTATCGAGTAGTTTGGACTCTGTTTCGAATTGTTCCTCCAACATCCGCCTGTTGGGGGACATGCCCGACCTAAGCGTGGTTCGACGAAGAACAGATTTCGGAGGTTACTGAAGGTGCCATCTGGCCCAAGGTGTCTCCAGCTTTGCTTGGCGGCGAGCGAGTGGGGGAAAGTGAGAAGAAGAAGGCCTTCTCCGAAGGCGGCGCGGGACTTCTCAGACTTCGACAAGGTTTTTATGCGTCTTCGGGGAAGGCTTCGAACACTTCACAGAAGTCAGGGGGACTTTCGAACCTTCTGAGAAGGCCTTGTCCTTCTCACTTCCCCCCCTCGCTCGCCGCCGAGAAGAAACACATATTTCGGGGGTTGCTAAAGGTGCCCATGGCCCAAAGTGCCTCCAGCTTTTCGCTCCCTTCTGGAGCCCGCGGGGCCCTCTTGGGCCTCGGGAGGGGTGCTCTGGAGGCCGCGGGGGGGCCTCCTTGGCCTGTCCTGGAGGCACCTTTAGGCCAGCAGTACCCGAAGACTGCACCAACAGACACGTTCACAAGGTCCGCGCGGATCTCTTGGATCTGCAGCAGGCCCCCTCTGACCCGGGCCTCTGGCGCCGCTCTCGGCGCCCCCTCCGCGTGCCGGGGAGGGGGGTGTCAGCGCAGGTAGACGAGACGAATCAGGGCAGAGTTCCGAAAAACAGAGGCTCGTGGTTTGGTGTTATCGCGTTTGATTGTTTGGATGTTCCTTTTTATGTTATGGTGTTTTATGGGCTTGAGTGGCGAAGCTGCGAAGCTGTGCGTTGCTCGCGCGCGCGCGAGTCGCGCTGTCATGGCGCGTGCTCCTCGGACGACCGCAGAGTCTGCGCTTGCTGTGTTCAGTGGGCGCGGTTCGGCCGCTGCCACGGTCCCCGCTGCCGATGTTGGCTGCGCCAGCGCGCTTGGGATGGAAGTCTTCCGCCTCTGAGTTCCCCCCTGCCCCCCCCTGCATCTAGCCGTTCTGGCCCAGGTGGGCTTGTTGCGGCCGACTTCAGATCGGCACCGCCGCAGCGGGTTTATTTGGTTTTTGTGAGCTCCTGTGGGAGCAGCATACACTTCGGTACTACGGAGGCTTGCGGCGCTCAGGCGTTGTCGAGAAGACCATCCTCATGGCGCTGCCAGGCCCCATTATTCCTGGACCGAAGGAAATGATGTGGGGATGTCCCAGCTGCGGCACGGCGTCGGGCTGGGCAAATCGACTCACGTGCAGATGCGGGCGAGACACCCCGACTTTAGTGATCCAGCGTGCGAGGAAGGCTGCCAAGGCCGAGATGCAGAAGGTTGCGCCCGCCAAGGGAGGAGCTGGCAACGGCAACGGCCCGCCGATCCCCGCACCATGGAGTGAAGTACACCCAAATGCAGAAGCAAATGGAACACCTTGCGGCTGAGCTCAAGCGTGCCACGGCGGCCAAGAGCCCCACGGCACCAGCGACGAACAACACTGAACAGCCGCCAAAGGACCCCACTGAAGCTGACAAGACTACCGAGAAGCGGTGTGCCCTCCAGAAGCGCATCGACGTGCTGGAGCAGTACATCAAAATACGATGGACCTGGGTGAAAATGACCCAGACCTCCCTGCAGCGCGCAAGCGGCTGGAAGAGTTGCGCGAAGAACACCGCGCCTTGCGCCCACCCGCGTCGGCGCACCAGGCTGCTTTCCAGAGACTTGAGCGCTGCAAAGGACAGACAGCGAAGTTCGAGCAGGAGTTGGGCGACCCCAGCTAGAAGCTCGAAGTGCTACATAACGATCTTAACGACTAGCAAGCCGCACTTGAAGCAAAGACCAAGGATATTGGCGTGCTGGAGACTCAAGTCGCAGCCAGTGCCGCCAAGCTGCGGCAACAAAGTGGTGAACTTGCAGTCCTTGAGCCATGTGTATTCGGGGATTTTCTTTCCGAGCTGGGCAGTGCGCCAGAGGTGTCTGCCGACCCCGAGATGGACAAGTCCTTTCAGGACCTCAGTGCTCACCAGGGTTCACCAAGTTCCAGAAGTTGCTCTTCAATTCCATGGCAGTCTCGGCTGCGAACAGGGATGCCCCGATAGATGGCGCAGCTGATGTTCCTGCTGCTGGTGGCGCTCCCGATGCTGGCAGCGGGCCGAGCACTGGCGGGGAAAAGCGACCTCCCCCAGATATCACCTCTGACGAGGCCAAGGAGCTCTGGGACAAGCTGCAGCAGGAAGATAACCTTCCAGCAGGCCCCGGCAAGCTAGCCGAGCTCGTCAACGAACTCCATCAAGCCAAGCACCGACGGTTTGCGGGGGAGGGGTGTCCCTGACCACCTGCCGCGGATCAGCGGCCTCGCAGTTGCTGCTGGTCGCACTCGAGGTCCCCCCAAGCCACGAGATGATCAGCTCCGGAACCTGCGCGTTGGTGGCGCTCGCCCAAGAAATAGGGCACCTTGCTGATAATGCCGGAGAACTGTCTTCACGGGCAAGTCGGCGAGGATGAAGTTCTATTATTGAACCAGGACATACGACCAAAGGGCATGTTCCTTTTGATGGCGTTGCTGTTTTTGCACGTGCAGCAGGCCTTCGTCGCCCGCGCGTTGATGGCAATTGTCTCCCAGGAGTTTCGACGGCCCATCGTGGTGCCACCTGGTTAGCCGGCCACGAACGGACATCTACAATCTTTACCGTCGCTGCGCGGAGGGCACGGCGGTAAGGAATGCGCGGGTTCTGGCTGGCATCGGGCAGCCTCTTGCTGACCGGACGACGCCAAGTATGATTGGAGGCGAGCGGAATCTCGATGCCAAATTTTTGGAATTGCCAGATTTTCGTGCACAGGCTCAAGTATCTGTCGCGGCACAAGCATCAGTTACGTGTAGGACCGCCACGGCGGCAAGCGCGACTTATTTATTGTGCCAGAGTGCCGGCGCACACCCGTTGCTCCAGGCAATCAAAAGCGACGCCAAGTTGGAGAAGCAGCCTCATCGACCTGTTCGGCCGACGATGGCTGGACATCGGCTTCAAGTGCTTACCTACTCGGCCCTGCCTACGTTTCCCGTCGTTGCTTTGGTCGGCCCCTTGCTCGCGAAGTATAGATTGGTCATTGGGGCAGCGTCGTGCTGTGAAAGCGTTTGAGTTTCGAAGGTAGCCGACGCAGCTGCAGCCCTGGGTTTCTTAACACTAGCGCGGGGGCAGTTCGCTTCAGAAGCTGCTGAGCGGATAGGTCGCGTGACTGGAGCTGAAGTTCGACGCGGCGCATCGCGCGCGCTGTATCAGGCCGAAGTGGATCGATATCACGAGCGATGGCACCGATGCGCCTGGCCCTGAAGCGCAAGCAGATGGACGGCACCGGTTATGCGACGCACTCTTCGGGATCAGTTTGTTGAGGCGAGGTTCCGCTGAGGGCGGTGAACAGCAGGAGGTTCTTCTGGAAGACGAACTCACGCGGCCCCAGACCTCGCCGTGCCCCGCGCGCCATTTGAACGAGCGATTGGATGCAAATATTGATCGGGCTCGAAAGATCACTGCTGGACGCTGTTTCCCCGACACAATCAGATATTCCCTCGAGGAGACTGATGAAGATGCCTCGCTGGTTCAACGAGCAGCTGGCAAGGGTTCCGGCTCGCGACTGGCACGGCCAGGCTGCTGCTGGAGATGCCAGGAGCTCGCGTCGCATGACGCGTGCCAGGCATACCGCTATTGCTAGGTCACCAGATGGATTTCTTTCAGCTCATATTCATGTAGTGGTCGAGGAAGTGGCGGGCGAGTATACTAAGTTTTGGGGCGCCACCACTGTTTCCCCGAAGGCGTGGATCCCCGAAAGAAACTTGCGGCCGAGAGCCAGCGCTCAAGAAATCCGAGAAGTAGCGAAGACATTCCCCCAGTCGACGGCTGGATGTCTGGACAGACTTCACCTCATATTGAGCGACGAGGGTTTGACCATCTGGAGCATCTTCTTGTAAGCTATTGAGTCCTTGGGAGTTCTTCCGAAGCAGATGCCATGGATTTGCGCACCAATGATCCCCAAACCCCTGGTTCTGCACATCGAGTCCGGCAGCGGCTTCGACGACCTGCACTCGAGCGGCCTCAACAATTGGTCCGCGAGTTTGCAGGGGAGCTGCCGCAGGTCGGCCATCGACTCAGCGTGGCAGGGCGCGGCTCGCGTGGAGGCTTGCGCGCAGGATAATCGCGAGAGTCTTCAAATGGTTAGGGGCTGCAGCAATAATTACGAGACGATGGAGTTGATGGGCGTCCGAGAGGAATGTCGCAAGTACGGTGCCCCCACGAGCTTCACGAAGCTTCTCTTTAACGCGTGGTCGACCCCTCGCACAATTCGCCTCGCGCATCATCGCTGCCGGCAGCCAGCCCATGCGCGACGCGGCTTCCTTGCTGGAGATGCTTGCGCCGACTTCGGCATCAAAGTACACCCGCTTGAGGGGCGCGACCGCGTTCGTTTCCTTGCGCAGCGAGATGTACTTCTCATCCCACATTGACAGTTGGCTGGCAGCTGAGGCAGACACAAACGACGAGTTGATCAACGCGGCTGTGAGAGTTGGACGCAGTTTTCAGGATGCTGCTTCGCGTCTTGGCGCCACTTTAAATGACAAGTTGGCTGTTGTTTGTTCTGACACAGGGGTTGGAGCTGCTGCTGCAGAGTTTGGTCTTTCGGGCTCGGCTGACAAGCGTTCGAAGACTTACCTTGGCACGGGTCAGGTTGGCGGGATACCGAAATGCGCGGCGTCTACCAGGAAGAAGAGAGGTGGGCCGACGCCGACGTCTTCAACGCAGGGCGCGCACGCTTGCACGCTGCCGGCGCGCTTCATCTACACAGAAGACGGCGAGAACGGGACATATTCCCACGGCTGGAGCTCGACCTGAACTGTCTT